CGCAGCACCACCACCGCAAAACGGCGCCGCACGGCCCCCCCGGCCTGCAGGCGGGGCCGGGCGGAAGAGACGCTCACAGCGACCTGAGCGCGTTGAAAAACGGCGTGCTTCAACTACCTCTGTGTGAGAAGACCATCTCTGTCAACATCCAGCGGGGCGGGGGCTCCAGGGATGGCCTGCTCTGTACCTCAGCTCCGGCCAGCTGCTGCCAGGTCATCTGAAAGCCCCGCCAGCCCTCACCCACCACAACCAGCTGAAAACCAAGCTCCTCCCCCCACGTTCACCTTGTCTCTGGGCACATTTCACCCCGTTCACATCCGTTTGAACACACTACTCCTCTCGCGGTCGTCTACGCTTTGTGTCTTTCATCGTGTGTTTAGTTCAGGCTTATGCTGACCTCTGACATCAGCTAGCGTCTTATGCTTCTCAGTCACTAGCGTCACTGTCACTTTGTTGGATATGTCCTGTGCTCTGCTGACTCTTCATATGTCTGAGGTGCATGTTGTTAGTGATTGTTTTTAACATTATTAAGTCTTGTATTTCATAATTGTTGTATGTCCCGACTGCCCTTTAAATGAGTGCTCCAATACTGTTTTACCATCGTAATAACAGTATGCTGGGTTGGATTTGATAACTGGGTATGGAATGGAAAACATTTTCTTAGCTACAATGGAGTACTGCGCAGGAAATAAAGTCCACCAAACAACATTTTGAGAAAAATGTTTTAATGTTCTGAGCATGAAGTCAAACATTATGAGTAAGTTGTATTGGTTATCATAATTGAATGAGATAAAAGTCTTAATAATGCAAGAATAAATCAGTAATTCAGTGTTTTTAATCATTAGAATATATTTGAAACCCAGAAAAGTTTTTGAACCTTTTGAGATCATAATTTTATGAGGGGAAAAAGTCATAATATGTGAAGACAAAAGTAAAACGAGATTATATATTATATTATATATATATTATATACGAGAAATATATATTTTGTTCTAAAATTCCATCTTATTCTGCTAATATTGTCACTGTCTCGTAAAGTTGTGACTTTATTCCACTGATGACTAAAATTATAACTTAATTGTTGTTTTTGCCAGTAAAAAGTCTTTAAGAGTTATGACTTTTTTTTAAACCTAACTTTCATGTAATATTTAACTTTATTCTCAAAACACTGGAATTTTTTCTCAAAATATTGCATTTTTATTGTAGAAATGTGTCTGTTTCCTGCAGCAGCCTGATGCAGCGCTGTTGGTGGTTGGAGTGGTTCAGCTGTACTGTAGCAGGCAGCTGACAGGAGCAGGAAACAGTAGCTCTCTATGTTAATACAAAGACACTCCTGGGAACAACATCCTTCCCTCCTCCCTTCACCTCCAATCCCCCCCCTCCCCCGAATGTCAGCTCGCAGCTGGATTAAAGTGGATTATGAATCCATGCAGGTATCTTTGACCACTTCTGTCAAGGTTTTAATTTTGACTCCAGTCTGGACTCCGTATTGCACTCAGACAATCTGTTTTCTGTTGTTTTTAGTGTTGTTTTTGAACAATAAGTTGTGCTAGAGTAAATTCAGCTCCATGCACTCACAACATATTCTCTGTCAGGACCCCTTTAAATGTGTGTCTCTTCATAGAGACGCACAGTTTTATCTTAATAAAAAGGACGGCAAGAGAAGACCGGGTGGTTCTGTTATAGTGCGTGCACTCCTCTGTGGCCGCGAACAGGTGATAATATTGATACTGTAGCAAGATGATGCTGATCACCAACAAGTTTGGAAATGTTACTGCTGACCATATATTTAAAATGAGGTTATTTTTTTAATCCACATGTCAGTGCGTGGCTGTAGTTGCTGGTAGAGAACATTAGTTGTGTCTGGCTCTCTGTGGAACCACAAACACACTAACAATACCCCGAGTAGTCTGTTCTGTTTTGACCTCTGCTGGCTTCCTGTGGTCCCACCTGCACCCACGTTTCACCCAAAGCTTACCGCGCACACGTGGGTGCAGCGCGTGGACCCGTGTATCGAGTATGTATATACAGTATGTTGAAAAAGTAAAGTTTATTTTTAAAACATGTACATTTTTTTGAGCGACCTGCTGTTTAAAAGGGGGCCTGTGTGAAATGTGGTTGGTTAGAGGTGTGTTCACCCGGTAAATCGGGAGGGCCTCGCCTGTCCGGGGAGAGAGAGCTCGTGACTCGCAGCTTCAAAGGAGCTGGCCAAGAGATGAACAAATGAGAGACGGGAAAGGGGAAATGGGGAAATTCTTTAAGGGCATTGGCAATAAGCTATACCGTGTGTTGCAGCTATCTGTACAGAAACATTTTCATTTGTTTCATTTTTTAAATTCCAAACTTGTGCAGCCTAACCCCGTGTCTAGACCGCAAGCGTCACCCAAGCTCCGTTTTTCCATCAACACTAATGCATATGAAGAAAAATGATTTTTATTTTATTAAAATGATCATTTAATAATTCTATTAAAGCCATTACATTTGAAATAAAGAACAGCCTAGGTTGCAAAGTCAGGATAAATGTATCCAGTGCCTTTTTATTGGGCATCAACCTCACGTTTATGTGCTTATTTTCAAAAAAATGCACAGAGACAGACAGCTGCATAAATTAAAATGAGAGTAAGAAAACTCATCGGATACGCTTACGGCCCATACGCGGGGTTACGACCACATTGGACTGAAAAGAAAAAAAGGAAAGCTGATGTTTTAAATATTTTTTAATTTTTTTTTGCTCTTTGGTTGTTGTCTGAGTTTTCTTTTAAAAACCAAATGTAAATAGAGTTGTAAATATGGTGCTCTTTATCTAGAACAGCCGAGTGAAACCCTTTGGTGCATAGCTGTACAGTAATCTAGCCTTATGATAATAGTAATACTGTATGGGTGTCTCAGCTAAAAATAAAGCCGTGTGAGAAAAACGACACGATTCTATTCATACTGTCAGGTCTTTGACTGTCGTCTTACTCAGCTGTATCCAGGTGAATGACGTGCATGTGTTTCAATGTTTGACATTCAATGACACAGAGGAGAGGGAATCAGCCACAGAAATGTTACTGGACCAAAAAAAAACAACAGAAGAAGAAGAAAAAAAAAAAGAAAAAAAAAGATGAGTTGGAACTGACAGAAATATTCAGTGTATTATTCTGTAGTTGATACCTGTTGTCAGAAGTTACATATAGCTATGGTAATATCCAAAAATAAAATGTGGAATACTGTCTCATACGTTTGGTCTTCTGGGTCTTTCTTGTTGGATTTTTCTCGAACTGGGTGGGACAGATGAGCCTCGAGTGCTGGACTTATTCTACATGATTAAAGTGAAGTAAGATCTTAGACTTGTATTTTCACATTTTTAGCCATGTTAGCAGTGTACATCTATAGATGGCGATTTATCAGTCCAACGCTTCGGGCCAGCCTTAAAGCTGCAGTATGTAACTTCTATAAAAATAACTTTTACTTCACTTTCACTATATCCTGACAGTAGAACATTGAGAACACGATAATCTGTAAAATAAATCAGGCTCCCTCTGGCTTCCTCCCTGGTGGCTCACTAATGACATTTACAAGAACTCACGCGGCCTGAATGAAGCCTCAGCTGTACTTTACAAATGTTAGCATGCTAATATAGTTAAACTAGAGAGGTGACTATGGTAAAACATACATGCTCAACATTAGCATGTTAGCTGATAAATGTAGTTCCAATATTAACTGTACATATATCTTGCCTGTTAGCAGCTAGTTGCTAATTGTGTGTGCTGTTTGATGCTAGGCAGGCAGTGTACAGTGGGTTTAT